AAAAATGATCCCCAAACTATAAAACACTTTTCTCAATTCATTTTTCTGTGATATAAACTTCATATATATGATTAGATACTTATTAAGTCATTTTAAAAATGATAAAGCTAAAAAGCTATGATCCATAAATATATATATTTAAAAGAAAAATTAATTATAGGTTTCATATTAAATTCGACGGCTAAACTTATTTAAAAAAGACTTAATAAATTTGATAAATAAAATTCTCATAATACTCTCTTTAGATATATATATAATTAATTCATTTTTCTAATTTAGTACGCCATAACCGAATAGACTAATCTACGCTACAGGATGCTAATTTTGTACAATCAGGGGAGAAAGATATTGAGTTGTGCATAAATAATAAAAATATAAAAATCTTGATAATATTAAGTAAATTTAAAATACTTACTAATTTACTATTTTTTTTGTCTCATATATATAAATTAAATTTTATATGTATCCTATTTCAGCTTCAAATTAGAATGAGATTATCATATATAATCACTTAATATGAATTATAGAAACTTTTAAATTCATTTTTAAACTTTTAATTTTTTATTTAAAAAAAAGTATTTATATGTTGGTTGTTTCCAATCTTAATGATTGTAATTATTGAAGTACTTTTCGACTATATCTTACATTAAATGGTATTTGGGAGCCCATTTTATTAAAAGATTAATTCATAATTATTATGGTCCACCTCTAAAAATCAATCTGATAAGGTACTAATAAATCTAATATATTCTAATAAGAAAAACCTATCTTAATCTTACAATAATCATATAAATTTAATTCGTAATTTTGAAGTATTTAATGGTTCCTATAGTTTTTCTCGTAATTCCATTCTTTAAGATAAATTCTAATGAATTACAAAAAATATTTATATCCATAATAGATGTAGTGTGTAATAATATTACTTAATTATTATTTCTTGCAATCAATTATATGGATAAATGTTAAATTTTTAGATAAATAGACAAAAAAGTATATTAGAAATATTCATTCTTTGTCATTTCATTTTGGAGATTTAATGTTCTTATTATGAAAAATCATTTTAATTTATTTGAAACTAATCCTAAAGTATTAATATTAATTATAATAGAAAAAGAAAATGTAGATGAGATGCACTTAAGCTGATCATCGAAATCAATAAATAATAGGGTTTTGTATAGAAAGTACATGTCCAAATT